AAAGCAACCTGATCATTTGTAAACTTTCTGCACATCCCAAAGTCTAGAATATATATCTTTCGTAGCTCATTCACTTCAGGTCTTCCAATCGTGTAATTCCCAGGTTTTACATCTCGATGTAGATATCCAATCCCGTGTAAATCTGATTTCAGCAAGTCAGTTGATTTGATGTTGTTTAATACTGTACCTTCAAGAGCTTCCAAGCACTGAATTCCAACGGAAAGAGCACATGCCAAGGAGAGGCGGTTTGTAGGCTGTGATTTCCGTAGGTCTAGTAAAGATTTACCGACCAAGGTTATAACAATATAATTGTATTTTCCAAATCTCCCCTTGTCTTCGATGCGACAAAAATGTCGACCTCCTCTTTCCATCAGCGTTTGTAAGACAAATACCTCCATTTTTAATACCTATAAAAATCCAAGTGGCTCTTTCTGCAATAACGTCGAGAACATACTTGCACTTTCTCGTCAATTCCCTCGACTTTTAGCGCATACTGCCCAGTCGGATCGCTCACCTGAATCACAACAAAGTGTCACAAATAAAGCCCCTAGAGATCTATTAGAGATGTCTCGTAATATGATGGATAGGGTTCACGAAGAAAAGTTTCAAATGAAATTTCGGTTGCACAAAGTTCGGCAATAGCACTTTAGATAAGCCGCAGATAAACTTTTTTGTTTCCTTGCTTTCTAACTAATATTGGTTATCTACCGAGTATGCAACAACATGGTACGGAAAAGGTTCTGTGCCACAAAATGAGGCTCCAAGACTTGGCGTGATTTCTAGATTCTTCTGGTAAATTCGAGGTGAATCAAATACGAATGGCTGCAAAATTTTGCAGTTTCACCCGGCTGCCCTCTATTCACATCGCATCCCTTACCACGTTTTGCCACTTTCACAAACGAAGGTTTTCAAGGGAAAAATTCTCTCGTATTAGACGAGATTTTAGAACTTCTTCTATTGCGTTTTGTAGTGATTATGAAAGTTTGCAGGTGCTAGGAGAAGAAACACGAAGGAGTTGTAGCGGAGTAACAGGATGCGGTTACAAGACGTATCGCAGGAAGTGTGTCCAATCGTTTGAACAGAAGCGAGTTAATTTACACTTAGCTCTAACTGAGATTGCCCCATTCTTTTTTCTTGTTCTCACTGATTGCCTTCCTCCACTCGCTTACACTTTGGAGACACCGTAATCATATCTACGTTGGCCCGCGTTAGTTAGCAAATTGATTTGATGTGGCAACAATTCACATAATTTACAACATGTTAACTATTTGAAATCGAAAAGACGCGCCTAAATGGGCGTTCTGAAATCTACAAGGCCGCTATCAACACCCCTCAAAGACTGAGTAACGAAAAAAACAAGGTTGAATCTGTACTACCACTTATGAAGGAATAGTGCATCAAGCCTTATTAGTAATTTGCGTAAGTTCTTCTGGAGGTTGTAAACTATTTATATTAGGCAAGGGCGCATTCCGGAGCCCAAGTCCTGTTCAGAGCAGGGACGATGTCATATGGGGTGTATGCCAACTCTTCTTTTGATCGCTCCTTCTCACGTGAGCAAGTTTCTAGAGTACAGACATGCTGAGAGCATGCTCTGCACACAAGGTAATGGATGGATGAGTTGCAGTCTTCCAGAAACATCGTTCGAACGGTTCTTTTCGCAATCGTCTTCTTGTTGGCAATGGCTCAACAAATCCTCCTAAACTTTTTTTTACCGCCTCGGCAAAAATCACGCGATTTCATAGCCGCGATTCTTCTCACAAGACAAACAGTCACAACTCTATTCCATGCCGAT